GGGCTGTGGAATATCAGTGGAGAGCCATGCAGTGGATCTGCCATTAATGGAACCGACTTTGAGGATCCAGCTAATAATCCAGCCATCATTTGTGATTGTACTTATGAAAAAAATACTACCTGCCACATCACCCAACTGTATGTTACCCTCCTCTCTCTCTCCATACTCTTAGTCTTGTGTTGTTGACTGTAGCAACTCCATTAATTATGTGTTAGAAAACTAAGCAGATCATGCCTGATTTATCAATTGTAATATTAAGTGCCTAACTGCTCAATCTTTTTTCTTTCCAGGAGAGTTTATGCTCTGAACAAACGAGGGGTGTTTCCAGAAGAATTTGTGGCTTTAAGATATCTGACCTATTTGTATGAAGTTTTTCCAACCCCATTCTCTGTTGTTGGGTTTACCAAAATTAACATTTGCATATAAAAGAGAAAGACACATGTTTCTTAGTCTTACTGTTCAAAATTCGCACGAATATTTTTTATACTCAGAGATTAATCGTTGGTCATTGCACTTTGTTTTCATTCTTGTAGGAAAATTGATCAGAATTATTTCACCGGTCCCCTACCAGCATTCATCGGCAATATGTCCGCATTGACGTCATTGTAAGTAGTGAGAGAACATTTGTTTAAGTTGTAATACAAATTTTTATCTGTCTAATACTTTGATGAGACTCATTCCCATGTACAATTTCTATAATTGACTTAGAACCCGTTTGATAACCATTTCAGTTTTCGGTTTTTAGTTTTCAATTTTCAATTTTAAGTTTTCATTTTTCAAAAACTGAAAACTTGTTGGTAATTAATTTCAATTTTCACAAAAAGTGAAAAGTGAAAACTGAACACAACATGTTCGGTAACTGAATTAAATTTTCAGTTTTCATTTTTATGTGAAACTTGGAAATGGAAGTTTTTGTGGTCAAATTGTGAATTTATGATCATAGAATGAAAGTGCATGTTACGAAGAGTTCGTTGTATTTTTTGGTGAATTTTTTTGGAATTATGATGAATTTTGGAGATGGAGTTCCGGAGGCTTGGATTGGGTACGTGGCCAAATGCAAGAATCAAGCAACCGGGTCCAAGTCAGGAGGTCCCAAATACCAAATTTTGATAACTGGAGTGCATTCCATGTGTCGTGATGTAAAATTAATGAATGAAATAGGAGTGCAAAACAAATGAAAACGAAAACTGAAAACTAAAATCACTTTCAAGTTGTTTTCAATAATAAGGGTGATTTTGAAAACTAGATTTCACTTTGAGGTAAGGCTAGCTGCTTGGTGATTGGCTTTCCTTTTTGTTTTTGGTCCTGATATATAAGTTGGAACTGTATTTCTTACAAATCAATCAATTTTATTTCTTCTTTAATGCCATGAAATATAGACCTCCCAAGTGAGTTATACCATATGGTAAAAGCAGCACTTAGTACACAAATTTTTTCTGTTTTTATCCTAAATTATATACACGTGCTAATTTCTTTAATTGATATTTCCATTCAGGTCAATTGCCATCAATTCATTCTCTGGGCCCATCCCCAAGGAGCTTGGAAACCTTACGGAGCTAACTACACTGTAAGCAATGAAACATAAGAAAGCACAATTAAATTTTGTGTTTTAGACAAATGAGAAATGCTCTATTGAGACATGTTCATTATAGAACCCCCTATCCTTTAATTCTATACCTCTTCAACATGACTTGTTGCAGGTCCTTTGGATCAAATAATTTCTCTGGAACACTCCCTCCAGAACTTGGTAACTTAGTCAAGCTCGAGCAATGGTGAGTGCTTCATTTAACTCATCGAATTTGAATCGCATGTTGCAATGTGTTTTTACCGGTTTATTTGTTAATTCATTATCGATGAGCAAGGAGTGCGTTTATCATATGAAATTGGTACTAATGAGTTCATGATTTTCACAGGTATATGGACAGCTGTGGACTTAGTGGTGAAATTCCTTCAACATTTGCTACACTCATCAACATGCAAATCCTGTAAGAATGGCCCTTAAGTGGTGTTTTAAGTTTTTTTTGTTTATTCATCACTTTGAGATTGCTATTCTGGGATGAGCTTACTATGAGTCAACTTTTTGAATTTTAGCTGGGCTTCAGACATTGCTTTCTCAGGAAAGATACCTGCTTTCATTGGGAATTGGACAAAACTAACTGTTTTGTAAGTATGGAAAACT